GGTAGAGCAGGGTGGGGTTGGGTGGAGCAGGGTGGTGTAGCGTGGGGTAGGGTAGAGCAGGGTGGGGTAGCGTGGTGTAGGGTGGTGCAGGGTGGTGTAGCGCGGGGTAGGGTGGTGTAGCGTGGGGTAGGTTAGAGCAGGGTGGTGTAGCGTGGGGTAGGTTAGAGCAGGATGGTGTAGCGTGGGTTAGGGTAGAGCAGGGTGGGGTTGGGTGGAGCAGGGTGGTGTAGCGTGGGGTAGGGTAGAGCAGGGTGGTGTAGCGCGGGGTAGGGTAGAGCAGGGTGGTGTAGCGTGGGGTAGGGTAGAGCAGGATGGTGTAGCGTGGGTTAGGGTAGAGCAGGGTGGGGTTGGGTGGAGCAGGGTGGTGTAGCGTGGGGTAGGGTAGATCAGGGTGGGGTAGGGTGGAGCAGGGTGGTGTAGCGTGGGGTAGGGTAGATCAGGGTGGGGTTGGGTGGAGCAGGGTGGTGTAGCGTGGGGTAGGGTAGATCAGGGTGGGGTTGGGTGGAGCAGGGTGGTGTAGCTTGGGGTAGGGTAGAGCAGGGTGGGGTTGAGTGGAGCAGGGTGGTGTAGCGTGGGTTAGGGTAGAGCAGGGTGGGGTTGAGTGGAGCAGGGTGGTGTAGCGTGGGTTAGGGTAGAGCAGGGTGGGGTTGGGTGGAGCAGGGTGGTGTAGCGTGGGGTAGGGTAGAGCAGGGTGGGGTTGAGTGGAGCAGGATGGTGTAGAGTTGGGTAGGGTAGATCAGGGTGGGGTTGGGTGGAGCAGGGTGGTGTAGCGTGGGGTAGGGTAGATCAGGGTGGGGTTGGGTGGAGCAGGGTGGTGTAGCGTGGGGTAGGGTAGAGCAGGGTGGGGTTGGGTGGAGCGAATGGTGTAAGGTTGAGTAGGTTTGGTGGAGCAGGGTAGGGTAGGGTGGGGTAGTGTGGGGTATGGTTGGGTGGGGTTGGTTAGGTTTGATCAGGGTTGGATATGGTGGGGTAGGGCGTGGTGCAGCAGTGTATAATGTAGGGTAGGGTAGGGCAGGGTTGGGTAGAGTGTGATATGATTGCGTAGGGTGGAGCAGTGTGGGACAAGGTGGAGTAGGGTAGAGTGGGGTAGGGTGGCGCAGGTTGAGGTAGTGGGTAGTAGGGTGAGGCAGTGTGGAGCAGGGTGAGGTAGTGTGGAGCAGGGTGGGGTAGTGTCAAGTAGGGTGAGGTAGTGTCAAGTAGGGCGAGGTAGTGTGGACAAGGGCGAGGTAGTGTGGAGCAGGGTGAGGTAGCGTGGAGCAGGCTGGTGTAGTGTGGAGCAGGGTGAGGTAGTGTCAAGTAGAGTGAGGAAGTGTGGAGAACGGCGAGGTAGTGTGGAGCAGGGTGAGGTAGTGTGGAGAAGGGTGAGGTAGTGTGGAGCAGGGTAAGGTAGTGTGGAGAAGGGTGAGGTAGTGTGGAGAAGGGTGAGGTAGTGTGGAGCAGGGTAAGGTAGTGTGGAGAAGGGTGAGGTAGCGTGGAGCAGGGTGAGGTAGTGGGTAGTAGGGTGAGGCAGTGTGGAGCAGGGTGAGGTAGTGTGGAGCAGGGTGGGGTAGTGTCAAGTAGGGTGAGGTAGTGTCAAGTAGGGCGAGGTAGTGTGTAGTAGGGTTAGGTAGTATCAAGTAGGGTGAGATAGTGTGGAGAAGGGTGAGGTAGTGTGGACAAGGGTGAGGTAGCGTGGAGCAGGGTGGGGTAGTGTGGAGCAGGGTGAGGTAGTGTAAAGTAGAGTGTGGTAGTATGGAGAACGGCGAGATAGTGTCAAGTAGGGTGAGGTAGTATCAAGTAGGGCGAGATAGTGTGGAGCAGGGTGAGGTAGTGTGGAGCAGGGTGAGGTAGTGTGGAGTAGGGTGTGGTAGTGTGGAGCAGGGTGAGGTAGTGTGGAGAAGGGTGAGATAGTGTGTAGTAGGGTGGGGTAGTGTGGAGAAGGGTGAGGTAGTGTGGAGAAGGGTGAGGTAGTGTGGATCAGGGTGAGGTGGTGTGGAGTAGGGTGAGGTAGTGTGGAGTAGGGTGAGGTAGTATGGAGCAGGGTGAGGTAGTGTGTAGTAGGGTGGGGTAGTGTGGAGAAGGGTGAGGTAGTGTGGAGAAGGGTGCGGTAGTGTGGATCAGGGTGAGGTGGTGTGGAGCAGGGTGGGATAGTGTTGGATAAGTTGGAACAGGGTGGATTAGGGTTATGCATGCTGGGTTAATGTGGAGCAGGGTGGGGCAGGGTTTGGGTAGGGCGAAGCAGGGTGGGGCAGGGTTTGGTAGGGTGGAGCAGGGTAAGGTGGAGTAGGGAGGGGTAGAGTGGGTTTGTGTAGGGCTGAGCAGGTTGTGGTACAGTGGTAGAAACACATCATAGATACTCATATTCAGCTGTCGATATTATCTATGTTACACTGCTTGTTTTAGTTTTGTGTGATAATCCACAACTCAGCAACTCATGCTTGCCGGAAAAGGCAACTATGCTTGTCGTAAGAGGCGACTAACAGGATCGGGTAGTCAGGCTCGCTGACTTGGTTGACGTACATCAACTCGATTGGTCTTTCGCCCCTATACCCAAGTTCGACGATCGATTTGCATGTCAGAATCGCTACGGACCTCTTTTCCCAATTGCGTAGATCGATGCTCAATCACTGGATTGTCTGGTCCAGACTCCATCATTAACAAGCGCCATCATTTAGCTGTAATATTACTGAGCTCGGCGTCAACAACAAACAAACCAAGATAGGGGTGCCCCAGGGTTCTGTATTGCGGCCGTTACTATTTCTGGTTTAAATAAATGATATATATGCTACATGTATAGGAACTTTATCTACTGATATGGCTTTAATTGAAGAAAGACTAAATGAAGACCTACTCCCCCCCATCTGTGGGCAAGCACATGGGTTGTAATTTATAATCCCATAAAGATAAAAAAAATAGATGCCTTTTAGCGAGATGCAGGTACGGGATTTTCCAACTATTTGTTATGCTAACAGTGCCATTGATCATGTAGAAATTCACCGACACCTGGGTGTCACGTTATCTCAAGATACGAAATGGACTGCACATGTTTCAATTATTGCTAGGTCAACACCAAGAAAGGCTTCAGCAATTAACTCAAACATATATAAATAGATACAATCTGTCAAAAAGTTTTGTTCTGTTGTGTTCTAATGGTGCTAGAATTGTCAAAAATCTTCTTTGAGAGGAAGTTTATATATCGAAAAGGGCGTGCTACCACTAAAGAGAGACGAAAAAAATATAAAATACACAAAATGATAATGAACGAATATCCCTCATGCCTGAATAATTTGTTACCTTCCAATAGATCAGCTGCTTCAAGTTATAGCCTACGTAACAAACGTTAGATGACAGTTTCTTTTGCCAGAACAAGTTCTTTTCAAAAGTAATTTATTATAAATTAATTAAAACAGTGGAATTTACAAAATGAAAAATTTAATGTTAAAAATAATTTAAAACAAAAATAATCCAAATGTTATTCGATCTCCCTATTATTACAGTTATGGAACACGTGCAGTTAATATTATACACACAAGACAGACATTAGATGCTGCAATCTCAGGAACGATTTGTTAATTTGTCGGACATTATTTCGTGCTCTTGCTGTTAACCATGCGAAAAAGTATTAATAATCACTATTTTTTCGAATATGAGAAATATACTTGAAAAAGACATTATGAATATAGGGGCTCAACCCAGTTAAGCAAAATTTCTGGAGGGTAAAAAAAAATTATCTGAAGAGGAAAATCATTCAATTATTTTAATGTCATTCAAATTAGACTGGAAACAAACAAATGTTATATTTAACTTTACGGAACAGAAAAGACTTATCACCAGCTGCTGTTCTACTGTGTTACTTTGTTACGTGTACATACAATACATGTTGGCTGTAACACATGTACACACAGTCTTAGTTAGATGATTTTGAAGTAAATCAATAATATTTCATGAAAATGTCACAGTTTCGTAATATTCTTTATCTGCCGCCCTTTCCTGAAATTCAAAATGTCCATCACCGACAACGCTCCATTAACTGCTGGCAATACATTATATATAGTTAACAAATGTGCCTCTGTATGTGTGTGTGTGTGCGCGTGCGTGCGTGCGTGCGTGAGTGTGTGTGTGTGTGCGTGTGCGTGCGTGTGCGTGTGTGTGTGCGTGCGTGCGTGTGTGTGTGTGTGTGTTATAGTAGCTCTTACAGCCCCGTTAATTGAGCATGCGCATGTCCTTCGGTAATGTGAATTTTGCGCTCTTTAAATAGTCCTATTAATAACCCATGCTTGTCGTAAGAGGCAACTAACGGGATCGGGTGGTCAGGCTCGCTGACTTGGTTGATGCATGTCATCGTATCCCAATTGCGCATATCGATGCGTATGATATCAATCACCGGATTGTCTGGGCCACACTCCATTATTTACAGAGCGCCGTCAAATAGGTGGAATATTGTGCGGCGTTAAAAAACAAACAAAACAAACTTCTTTGTGCATTTCTGTGTGCACTGGACATTTATATATATATCTCCTGCTCTATCACTATTCACACATCACAATGACATGACTTGTATACGGGAGAAGGCCTCCTAAGTGTGTCACGTGTGCCTAGTCTTATGTTTCAGCGAGTTACCGATGTCTCCGTGTCCTATACAACTCTGAAAGGTGTTTAATAGTTTGTTGGTCAGCACGGATATCAACATAAATGTCATAGTGCTAAAAGTGGTCATTTTGGCTTCAATATTTACATAAAACTGTGGTTATAGTCTTTATTGAGTTAAGCTAGAAAAACGTAAATTGCTGTATTCGGTCAGTCTCCCATGTGAAGGTCACAGCTGTCTAGAACATTGTATCACAAAGCATAAAAGCATGCTTGGAGCAAGTCACTATTATCTAGCTGTACGTGTCTCAGCCTCTGTCGCAATGGCCACCCGACACACGTTTGCTGATACGCCTAACCTATATCAGTATTTTCGGACTACTTATCAATTATTATTCAACTTATGTTGACATCACTTGGTCAAACTTCTTAGGATACCGCTTAAGCCATCTTCCCGGCGCACGAAAGCAAATTATCTTATCAAGCAGATAATTGAACATGCAGTAAAGTCGTGACCATTCAAGATGTCTAGAGTATATATACTGGCTAACCCCGGGGGTGCCTCACTGTCGAAAAATCCCCAATAAAGGAGCTGACGACAGACACTTTGTTTGGTTTCTTTGAAGGTAAGTCATGTACTTTCATATTTCTCTAAAATTACAATTGAAATTCTTTTATAATTTGTATCTTATTTGGAGCAATATTATCAGAAATTCATTTCCTGTTATTGACAATGTTTTCAGGCAAATTTTAAGTGGATTGTATTTATTTAACGGATTTATCAGTCAAACGATGTGCGTTAGGTTAAGACAAATAATAATTTTAGTAGTAACTGAAGGGTTTAGCGTATTTTGTTCCGAGTTCAGCAACATTCGTGTAGTCGGAAATAAGGGTTGTTAGCAATCGAGTGTCGTGGTAGCAAGCTGTGTATTTTAGTTGCATATATATATACACTTGTATATATGCTTTCGTATAACTACGTTATTTTGTATATATAAAAAGGTTATGTAAATGCAGACGAACTACCCCACGTTAATCACGTGACACGAGGTATGTACATTATCTTTTAATGTCAGGATTCTATGGTGAACCATACATTGCATTAATTACTTGTTCATCAACAAAATCCAGACTGCTTTACTTGTTTCTGAGAGTCATTTGATGGAAGGAGGCTGGGAGAAACCGTTAATTTCTACAGCTGGTGTATAATGTATTGCCACCTGACATATATATTTATACTATAGCACAACTAAGACAGAGCTAAAAGTAATAATTATTTACATGTAACCATTAAGTTAATCTTTAGCGATGTACAGATAAGATAGGTAACTCTCTTGTACTTACATAGGTCTGAGCACAAGGCATTTGCAAAACAGCTTCAGCGAACATGTCTACATTACTAGCAATGCCTAAAATGTACATATATTATATCATTCAGTAATGTGATTGGACATATTTTCAATGGGCCCGGTAACACAGTATATAAGGATGCTTTCAGATAAGTTTGTTTACGACAGCAGTTTAGATAAAGTTTAGACATGGCCTTCTGGTCCAGGGCTCTCGACGTACAAGATATACCAGCGCCAGAAATGAATGATATATAGTTAGAGGTTACAGCCAACACAGGTTGTTGTTTGTACTTCAAACTGCGTACATTTGATACCGACATTGCGTTTAACGAGGCCTATAAGTAGTGCCATCTGACAAGGCGTATTCATCAGTATGGGTAACTGAAAATAAGCGTCACATAAGGTCATGTAAGCTTTGTTCATAGGTATCTTCACTGGCTGACTTTAATATTGTTATTTGTAATTGGTCGTTTTGTAACTTAGCTCATGATACATTTGTTTATCATGAAACTTACACTCAGTATATATAATCATTGTTTAATACAAATCACCAGTGTGATAACTGCTTCTTTGAAACTGTAAATGTTCTAGATGAATTTGTACTTTATATGCAAAACTTAAACATATGTGAGATTTCTTGTTTTAAATGTTAATTGATCACTGTCAAGATATCCCCAATGAAGGAGCTGGCCATTGACACTTTGTTTCGTTTCTTTGAAGGTGCTGCCCGATCCCCAGCTGATCCACAAGGCTAATTCTAGATATTGTGACGGTTTGATTACGAAAGTTTCAAACCATCATCAATGGTGGAACATCCGGGTAACGAAGATGTTGACTGATTCTTCCTGATCCTGGGCCAACTGCAACAAACTGACGTCAGAGGCTGATGCTTTGATGACTCTCTTGTTGAAAACTTCTTTCTTCTTAGTCATATCCAGTCTGTCACCCCCAGGGAGAGTGTGGAACCACAGCTTGCTCGCACCTCCAAGGTAAAATGGCATGAGACGACACTTCTTCTCATCATTGTAAGAGAAAACATAAGAACAATTAATGAAGTCATCCCACCATGTTTGGGCATTTTTAGTTCCTGAGAACTGTGGTAGTTTCATGTGAGGTATGAGTGTTGACATCTGGCTCGTCGAGGGTACTGATGAAGATGGTGATGTAGATGTAGATGTAGACGAGGAGGCTGCTGTTGTGGAAGTTATTGATGTGGTTGTAGCAGGCGACACAAGGATCGGCGTTGATATTGACTGTGAGACTGAAGCTTAATGAAGCAAGCAGGCCAGGAGGGGCCTTGGCTCAAGCCTTCGCAGCTTCTCTCGGTAACTTGAAGAGGTGTATCTGTCATCTAGAATTCCAGATCACCATTTATGATGCTTTAAAACTTTCGTATTCAAACCGTCACAATATCTAGATTTAGCCTTGTGGGATCTGCTCGGGATCGGGCAGCACCTTCAAAGAAACCAAACAAAGTGTCTGTAGCCAGCTCCTTCATTGGGGATATCTCGACAGTCATCAATTAACATATAAAACAAGAAATCTCACTTATGTTTAAGGTTTACATATAAAGTACAAAGTCATATAGAACATTTACAGTTTCCATAAAAGGGAGCAGTTAACACACTAGTGGGTGGTATTAAACAATAATTATGTATACTGAATGTACGTTTGACGAAGTACACATGCGCTAAGTTACAAAACAACCAATTACTAATAACAATATTTAAAGTCAGTCTGTGAAGATACCTATGAACAAAGTTTCGACACAGTAGTGTGTGGTATTAACAGTCAGTCTGTGAAGATGCCTATGAACAAAGTTTCGACACAGCTGTGTGTGGTATTAACAGATAGGAGGTTGTTATGTCCTCACTTAAACGTTGTTCCCTGTCGACATGCAACGTTGCCAGAAAGACGTTGTTGGAATAATGGTGGCGTAAGAATACAGCTTTCGTAGTTGGCGATTCGGCCACAGACTGTGGTCTCAAGGTGCAATCTGGCAATACAGTGTGCAGATTTGGACGAGACCAATTATACACAACGATAAGATGCCGATTCTAAAATCATATTCATAATACCATTTATATACACACAAGTCACCGTGTTGGAACCATCTGCATGCAACTAGAATCTAGCTATAAAATCGGAGGAGCGGATGTGAGGGGAGCCCGTTGGACGCTCGTGTTGTGTCATGTTGGCTATGTGATGTCATACGAGTAAGCAGATGGTGTATCTATTTTAGACATTGGTTGTAAATACCTGTAAGCTACACCATATATTCAATTTCGGAGCAAAGAAGATTCACGAGATTGCATCGGTTGACGTGAGGACCGCATTTCAATGGACTCGCCACTTCGTCCAAGGGGCGCCACTCTCATTTACAACACAACGTTAAATATTGTAAGTAGACACGGCGATGAATATTGTGATGGTATTTCGACATCATGTTTTGTTTGTTAATGATGCTCTGAATCTCTTTAATGCCAGGGCGGTGGAGTAGCCTAGTGGTTAAAGCGTTCGCTCGTCACACCGAAGACTAAGATTCGCTTCCCCACATGGATACAATTTTCTGAAGTCTAGTTCTTGTAGCCACAGCCGTGGAATATTGCTAAAAGCGGCGTAAAACAATACTCACTTACTTCATCATGACGATGCTTGCGCTACATAAATGCGAAAATGAGTGTCCATATACTATCTCTATTTGAAACGTATTTGTCCGTAATAACAAAAGGTGTATCTATATTAAACGCGTGATGTCGTCATGGGTGAGAAATAAAATCGTATGTAAAATAATATTATAAATATTATATTCTAAGCTTTTAAGGTTAACGCAAATATTTGAAAATATTTACGAGTTAAGTTCACACGATTGTGTTGCTATATGGCAGTTTAAGGTATTGTCAACAGTGTTGTAGTGTAATACATTGTTTCTGTTGAGATTCAGTAGAAGCTCATAACATTGTGATTTGACAATAATTAGTTGTCAGTAATGTATTCTAATCTTATGTAAGCAGTGATGTGGAAGTTACTACATTTAGATGCGTTTGGGAGTCAAGTGAAATCTAGAATGTTCCAGACTAATCCAGCATGGTGTAGAACTTTCCAGAAGAGGTTTAGAATATATACGCGGGGTTAGAACACACCTCTCTCATCTCACATTACACCTCACATTATATCAGGGGTCACGGGTGCACCAGTCGTCTAAGGCGCCGCCATTCGCTGTGCAGAGTTGCGTTCCGTTGGCACTCCAGGCACCTATGGTTGTGTTCAAATCCTGGTTCGCACCATACCCGGGCTCGTGGATTTCACAGAAGTTATAAACGTCTGAGACCTGCATCACGTCGTGCTTTCCTCCCACATTAAGCTGACATGCCGTGATATAATTGAAACACTGCTCACAGCGGCGTTAAACCAAACTCACTCACTCATACTGCGATTTTAAGTGCACTGCCATTGAATTTTGTACTGCCACTAATGTGTACTGCCACTGAAATTGCTGTGCATTATGTTCTTATTGACTTGTAAACCTATTTATTCTTATAATACAATTGTTATTTGTATAACATGTCTTTGTTGTTTGTTGGTTCACATTGAATTTGTTTACGTATAGATTTCTCGGTTAACTTATTCAGGTTTGAAGTCGACACTAACGCTGTCCTGATTCGCCGTAGCCGAGGAGGGCAACTACACGTCCAAATCACACTTTACGGGCTCGACATTGTTCACTTGAGTGACAAAATAACAAACACTAGTTTTTCCATTCCAATTGTACATTAAGTGAAAAGTTGGTTCACGGTAATGACTAACTGACAACGAAATTACCTTTTTCTGAAATATATAAACGTCACAGATGTGTTTTGATTTATGAGACAGGGTTTGGCACGATAACCTGCCTTGTGCAGTCAACTAAGACATCAAACACAAATACAGTCCCGACATGGTGTCAACAATGTCGCAATGTATATTAGTTACTCATATTCAAGAGATATTAGATTGGTTTGAAGCACAAACGAACATGCTGTTATCTTGCATGAGCCGACGCTCATGAAGGCATGACACGTGACGTCATAGATCCATGATTCGAGATGCACCATTTGTCTTGTTCGGAAATCACGTGCAGCATATCGTGATCAGAATATAGACACTCTGTGGTAAAACTTGACTGATTGTTCATTTGGTCATACAGTGGTACACATCTCTTCTCAACATACATGGGGGCACGGGTGGCCCAGTCGTCTAAGGCGCCGCGATTCGCTGTGCAGAGTTGCGTCCCTTGGGCACGCCAGAAACCTATGATTGTGGGTTCGAATCCCGGTTCGCCCCGATTATGTTTCTAGGTTTGTCAGCACCATACCGGTGCTCGTGGGTTTCACCGAAGTGGTAAACGTCTTAGACCTGCATCACTTCGGGCTTGCCTCCCACATTAAGCTGACACGCCGTGATATAACTGGAATAATGTTAAAAGCGACGTTTAACCCAACTCACTCACTCACTTACTCAACCTACATGCCTCTCTTATATGTTTCGATGGTTCGCGTTTCTTTTGGCGGTCAGTATATGTGTAACCACAGATGTGAAAATATAACACGCATAATAAATATGACTCAATTCCCGAACTCTTGTGGACGAGTGCTGTACGTGAAATGCATTTTTTCACCTATTTTAAAAAAAATCTGCAAAGGTTCAAACATAATGTGTGTGTGAATCCATGATGGTGACGATCGTCAACAAATGGGGATGAGTGTGCGCTTTACCCTCTAAATAGTTGGATTGACGTGTACGTTCCCCATTGTTTGTTTCTCAGATATGCATGAGATAACGGTGCAGGACATGTACAGGGTGTTTTCACACCTCCTTACTCGCTGGCATTTCCTTCCAGGAATCGGGTGGTCGGGCTTGGTGTCTTGGTTCACGGTGTGGCATCGAGTTCCGACAATGTGGGTCATTGCTCATCATACTGATCTTTGGATTGCCTGGTCCAGACTTGTTTGGATGCCGCATTCGAATGGCAGGGGTATTGCTTGGTATTGCCAATATTATACATCTATTTCAGTTGACTATCCATAAACGACCATTACGAAACAAGCCTTTTTATGATACGATGATAAAAAACAGTACATATGTATAACGCCTCGGGTCATGATCCGTAAGAAAACCAAAAAAGTAACATCAAGTTCCTAAACTGACAGAAAATGTGCCCGTCAGATGAAGATAAATTCTTCTTTAAGCATTACTTAGAGCTGCATGAACAACATTCTGTATATATCACATTGTACGATGTAAAGACGATTAGATGTACGATTCCGACCCTATACACACATAACGGTTTCATTTGTTTGTTGTTTAACGCCGCACTCAGCAATATTCCAGCTATTTGACGGCGGTCTGCAAATAATCCAGTATGGACCAGACAATCCAGTGATTAATATCATGAGCATCGATCTATGCAATTGGGATCGATGACATGCATCAACCAAGTCAGCGAGCCTGACCACCCTATCCCGTTAGGCGCCTCATACGAAAGCATAATCGCTTGTTACGGCAAGCATGGGTTGCTGAAGACCTATTCTTCCCCGGATCTTCACGGGTCACGGTTTCATGTAGTGACTGAGAGTTTCCATGTATCGTGCGGGGTAGCCTAGTGGTGAAGGCGTTCGCTCGTCACGCCGAAGACCCGGGTTTGATTCTCCACATGGGTACAATGAGTGAAGCCTATTGCTGATGTCCTCCGCCGTGATATTGCTGGAATATTGCTAAGAGCGGCGTAAAACTATACTCACTCAACCATGCGTCGTGCATCCCTGTACTTTGGGTCGTGTCTGAGATGCCATGCACGATGAACCAGGGAGCAATATTCGAGCTGAATGATCCAACGAAAAACAAGGGTCTGCCAGATATTGAGGCAGCGTTACGAGGTGTTGGAGAAATGTGGATCAGCATTGAGACAGACCGTATGTAAATTCCCAAAACCTTAACAAGTACACACTACAATCATTTCACTGAACCATGTACGGTCTCAGTGATCAATAATGAGTGAGTGAGTTGTGTTAACGCCGCTTTTAACAGTATTCCAGTCATATCACGTCGTGTCAGCTTAATGTGGGAGGAAAGCCCGAAGTGATGCAGGTCTCAGACGTTTACCACTTCGGTGAAAAACAAGAGCACGGGCATGGTGCTGACAAACCTAGAAACATAATCGGGGCGAACCGGGATTCGAACCCACAATCATAGGTTTCTGGCGTGCCCAAGAGACGCAACTCTTCACAGCGAATTGCGGCGCCTTAGACGTCTGGGCCACCCGTGCCCCGATCATTATTGACCCCTTCCGTCGGAAGCGGGTATTTCTGGCAGCATGGTTCTCTCAGCGGAATGAACAATTAGCAGCGTCATAGAGTGTTTACGTGATGGAAGCTGGTGATCACTTCGAATATATGTGGTATTTCAAGTATGTCAAGGGCTGTTTTATGTCCCTTGGGGACCTAAAAAAACATAGATCCCCAGCACTCTAATCACTCCGGTCGGAGGCGGCTAACTGAATGGGTGGATGGGTACAAGCGCATCATTGTACCCGGACGGCATGGGACTTTGTTGAAACATAAGTGACGTCATTCTATTGTTTAAACGCTCCATCATTTTTCAGGAACGAACAGTTGTTTGTCAATTGTACATTATCTCGAACCAACATTTTAATTAATTTACACTTGGAATACCCGAAACTATTTTTTATTGATTGACAAGTGAATTATTTCAAATGTTGTCGGAAAACATGTGTCGCCAGCGAGGTTCGAAACCGCATCGTTTGATTTGAGGACGTCTATTGTCAACCTCAGCTACGGCGACACATAAGTGTACGGTGTGAAATTAACTAAAAAATATTTTCAAAATTTTGTATACTCCTTAAACGCTAAAACAAACATGTATATAGTTTTGTATTATAGCAGGGTACCTATAAAAATGTTCATATTTAAAGCAATACGGTAAACCTTTGACGAGAAAAATATTCAGGTAAACATCTATATCCTTGTTCAGGGCTCTGCATTTGCTGAAATACCCGTCATCATGTATTTACATGTATTTGCGCGCAACCAATTGACGTTATACTAGTTTAGGGCCAAACAAAAGTATGAAGAGCCGTGTACCATGCATTGTAAATGTCAGCTCGCGACGGAGCTTGGTGCACGTGCAACAGCGGCAGAGAACGTTTTCCTAGTGCATCACGCAAGGGCGACTCACGCAGTATAAATACAGTCTACAACCAGTTCTGTTTTTTTCCAAATATTTTCCACAAGAGAATGCTTTGTCAAAGTGTTGTAGTAAGGATGTGTTTTAAGTTGGGGAATATCCTCGTAACTCCCCATACCCTAAATATAATGGGTCTCGGCCTCTGCTCCATGATTTGTAAGGAAAGGAGAATTAAAGTACTCATGGAATTGAAAAAAAAATGCTTTGCTTGATTTAATAATCAACACAATGCAATACGTAGATGTAAATACGAAATAACAAAACAACTGGAAAAGTACTAGTCTGGATTTGCTATTTTTATCTCAGTGCTCAATACAAAATGTACTTTACAGGAGGTAATTTGTAGGCACTTTCAACATTCAAAAATAAAACTAAGTCCAAATTGACATGTCAGAAACAGGCTATAGGCATTATGCAAATTAGCCTGGAAAAAAGTTATCAAAACAACAATAAAAATAACAGCTATGTTTATGTACATCATAATAATGACATGTAAGTTGAGGTTTGAGAAGGGAAAATGTTACTTTTACGTTCTGATATTTTGACGATGATTCACTATCCCACAATGCCGCTCACAAATCACTAACCACTGACAAATCACATGCACGTGGGTTTCAAGCACCTGTTTTCACCTGTCATCAAGGTGTCATAGGTCATGGACATTCACCTTGATCTACTAACACCTGGTTATGCTCAGTTTCACAAGTCTGTTTTGTTCATATTTTTACACACTTTTACGTGTAAAAAGACATAAAAACATTTGATACGCTGTATTTGTGCCAAGGCCAAATTGGTACTAATTGAGTTGTTTGAATATTTATATATTTTGTATATTAGCTGCATTTATTTAAAATCTGAGATCGAAAAAACAGGTTTTTTTCATTTCCGTGAGAACTTTAGTCGGACAATCCCCTCAACATGATAAAATGAAACTTCAGGTTTGTCAGGCCCCCAATCGCTTATTTGCAGGATGACGTCATACAACTGGAATATTGCTGGCTGTAACGTACAACAACAAATAGACTGAGGTTGGGAAACAGCCCAAATTAAGGTCAGGTCGGAGATGTTCACACTTCCCCACAAGCATTCTGCAAACAGATAATACAATGCCGGGCAAACGGAAGTATACACTAATGTTTGATGGTAGCTACGAATGAAACAAACAAGAAATGGTTATTAAATGGTGATGTATTTCAGGTATCATGTTAAGTTTCCAGTGTTCCGGTGAGTGTTTTCAGCGGAGCAACGTTTTGATAACGTTTTTAATGTTTAGCTCAAATCTAACTTTCAAGTGTATAGTTTCTTTTGTCCGGAAGTTTAGTCATTTACTGTTATTTACGCCAGTTCAGCATGACATATTTACATTGGCAATATGTCCTTTATACCTATCTTGATTTGAAGTTGAATGTCACTATGGTAGAGTACATGCAGCATATTATATTATAAATTGACACTAATCAGTGAACAGTGTTAAAACCGCCACAGTATTGAATTGGATCGATGTTTATGATGTCAATCACTGGCTTGTCTGGTCCAGACTCGATTATTTACAGACCTCCGTCATATAGCTGGAATATTGCTGAGTGCGGCGTTAAACAACAAACAAACAAACAAGGTTATGTCCTGTTATTATCCCGTACACGCCTGTTCAACCGACATAATGTGACTTCAAGTGTGTTGTCGGCAGGAGCTGCCTACAGAAAATGATAAACTTGTTGACTCCGGGTGTAACAATTGCTGTCGTTTGAATGAAGCCTCATCGTCATGTGCGCGTACTGCCCTCTCTGTATCTATTACTGGACAATATCAGGGATGAATCAGTCACATTCCGTGATGTAGTCACTTCCTGGCTGTACTGTTTCAGTTTCATAAGTGTTTAATGATGTCAACTGTCGTGTATGAGTGAGTGAGTAAGTCTGGTTTAACGCCACGTTTAGCACCGTTATAGCTATACCAAGTCTGGGGAGCCTGATATTGACTTCACACATTGTATCCATGTTGGGAATAGAACCCAGGGCTAAACTTAACGAGTGAACACATTAACCACTAGGCTACCCCAACGCCCCTGAGTTTATGTTATCATTTAAAAAAAAAAATAACAAATAAAATACTAGTTTGCTAAAGAGACCCAATATTAGACCCAATATTAGCCCAATACAGCGCCCAGACTCTACTGAACTATAAGATAGAGTGAGTGAGTGAGTGAGTATGGTTTTACGCCGCTTTTAGCAATATTCCAGCAATATCACGGCGGGGGACACCAGAAATGGGCTTCACACATTGTACCCATGTCGGGTCTTCGGCGTGACGAGCGAACGTTTTAACCACTAGGCTACCCGACCGCCCCTATAAGATAGAGGCAGCTTTAATTTGTGATATATATTTACGTGTGAAACAACCTGATGTGTGGCTTGCGAGCTATGCTCAGTATCACGTGACAACACAAAATAAACCACGAGGCTGAATATTTCTGAAAATCAACTTCAGGTTGTGGTGTAATGCTGGCCTGTGCGGGACACGTTCACAGTTTTGCAAACAACACTATGTCAGTAAATACTGGTAAATATTAACACCTCCCCCTTCCCAGTTCAAGGCTCTATCACGTTTGCGACTTATCTATTCAAACAAACATCACTATAACTAGTGACACGGGAATACAATAAGATGCCCGCGGGGTGTGTGAGCTGATCGTCATAGAGGCCTTCACTCACAATACAGGTATACATTCCGACTTTGGCCCAACGTTATCATTGGTTGGCAAAGTCGCGGTCGCATTTCTAACGTTGACGTTCTAACGGTGGCTGTCGTAAATGAACATCGGTTGTTGTTTTTCTCGCGTTTGGTTGAAAATTTAAACTATACATTTATATACCGCAGGGATCCAGGTACTAGCATCAGCTCAAATGCGGTTTTTATTTTATCCCCGACCAGTGGATCCGTTTGTATTCATGTTATCATTCTCAACTCCATGGGGAGTATACAACATAAGCTGCCCAGGGACGCTAGAAGGTTTTTACATCCATCTCACATATCGGGTACTCATTCCCTGCTGGGTGAACAGAGGCACATGTGAACTAAGTCACTTGCCCAGGGGGATACCACACGTTTTGACACTTGTGTTTCGGGTGTATGGACGTATTCGTGTTTCCACCATCTGGTCATCTACCATCGGACGAGTAGGTTTTTGAGTATACATGGTGTATGTACTGTCCACTAGGGGTAGTGACAACACTGTAAAGACCTGTTAACATTGTTGGTCCCAAGGCTGAAAAAGGAACCCGGCCCTTAGCGGCATACGATCTCACCTGGCGGTTGCTAGCATGGCGCTTTTGACCGCTTGCCATTCATTGCCCCTTAAATTAAAACAAACTCAACTCAAAAGGCAGCTCCGCTTTTGCTTGTGACAAATATCAATCAAATTGAACGATTCAGAACGAGCCTTTCTAAAACTCTAAGCATAACGTGTACATGATTTAATAATAGAATGCAGACTCCTACTGATCCATGTATGGAGCTTCCCAGACAGCATGGCAGTGGTGAGCCATGGAGCGTCCAGCTAATTTTCGATGGCCCAACGGTGGCAACCACAAACGGCGGTAAGCCAGTGGCCCACTCGTGGCAAGCCACTACACCACAACCCCAGGGGGACCCGGGGTAGAATGTGTCTCCAGCATTACAATGCTGGACGTAAGAGGCGACCGAATTGGGCTACCCCTGAAGATCCGGGTTAGAACTGGCATTCAGCAGTCCATGCTTGTGGTAAGAGGCGACCTGCTGTTTCGTGGATGTAGTTCAAATAGAAATTCAGCTTGCAGCATGTTATACTTGCTAAGTGATATCTTAACTGGATACGTTTGTTAAAAACATTTCAGGCTGCCTGGAAGTATTGAGAAAAAAAACAGATCTTGGCCATCCTTTCTCTGCCACCGCTGTACCAACGTCGACCCAACGTTAGGCCGACGGTAAAAAAAACTAAAACGTTGGACCAACGTTGACAGCCAAACGTAAATGATAACGTTGGCCCAGCATCTGACTGCGTCTTGGGTATAGGGGACTCTGGTTGGTACTGCTTAGATATGGAATGGTTCATATCATTAAAACATCTGAACATTTTAGTCTTGCTCCTAATCCTACGAAGCCCTATAAAGGTTATCCTATGTTTAAGCGCCTGATTGCCTTGCTTGCCTCGAAGAAAAATCCAACGGCGGAAGGAACAATAATTATGTGTCAATAAAGATGTCAATAAAGATGTAGATGATAATCTTGCATCTTTCAAGGAGGCTCAGTAAGCCAATAGTAGCCAAGTTTCCTGAACATGAATTTATCACCACAAATCTACAAATCCAACGCTATGCATATATGAACAAGAACAGGAACATGAACACGAAGAACAGTTTTACAATAGTCCTACACCGCTCAATACAACACACCAATACAATTTACTCAGATTGGGATTGTGGTAGTTTTATGTGTTGTGGAGATCTGACTCATTACTTTGCATATTATTTCACATTAATTCACCAAATTTCACATTATTCAAAGGAAATGATACCAATGTGCACTTCCAAGCCACCCAACACCTCCCCAAATATTCAAACAATCCGCTCACCATGGCCAAATCCAATGTACACCACGGGCGTGTGGCGCCATTCGTTACTGTACGATTTCGCAATATGAACAGACTTACCTCCCTTTGCAAGGAGGGTCCCTCCACCCGATAATGTGTGTCATGTGTACACCCGGTAAAGAGGTGTAGATGTCTGTAGCCATTCCTGACCTCTGACTCCGGCCTATTGTTGTACACGTGTAACATATACGGCGGCACTGATGTGAATACATATTATTGTTACATGCGTGGTTGGAATATCGAAAAAGGGGCGTGGCGTAGCGACAACTCACTGCAACCAACAAGGTCGGAAGCCCTACAACAGGTAGGTAAGACACCATGTTTATCACGACACATCCATATCGTCATAAACATATAAGTATGTTGAATATTTAGTGATAGATCACTGATTGCGAAATAAGGGTTACTTTGTGTAAACATAGTCACAACGACATACTAAGGAAGACCAGCAACTTTGCATTGTGAGGCGTCCTCCATTCAATGCTGAATACCCTGTTCTATGCATGTGCCAGTGTTATTGAATACAATTCTGCCAGTTTGACATGTTCATGTGAAATTAAGTACTACAACGTTAGACAGCAGGTGACATATTCAATCTCATGCAATATACACGTGTTTATGTCCTGAAACTACACGAGGAAATGAAAAATAACCGAGCACTTTGTTGGCCTTTTACAGCAAATTGTCTACTTATCTTATCACTTGCTTCGACTACTGCTCAACGGCAACAGCTGTGCTCATAATTCATGTCTATTATGATGTAGGCTAGTTGCAATAGACATACCAAAGCCACTAGCACATGTTGCGAGTGAAGAGGCATATGATTGTATATTCAATGTATGTGTGTATGTATGACTGAAATAAACACGGCGCTAGGCAGGGTGACTATGACCCCGTTTCACCGCAACCCTTGTTACAGTAGATAAGAAATCAGGTGACTATACTTCATTTCAAATAAACAGCTGCTAACAAGTTTGAAGGTCGTCAGCACGGCCCACCTACCCTGTGCCCTGCGTGTTGGGTAGGGTTGGGTTGTTTATAGGAGGACATGCTTGAACACGTGTGTTTCCGTGTGTGACGCAGTTAAACGTGTGTCAATGTCATAGGCACACAATCCGACAATGTTTAGCATCGAGGAAGTAGGGACATTAGCTGAGTGGCTTTCCGTATCGAAAGTGTCATATTATATGAGCGATAAAAATATTATTGTTTGTAATAAGCGATGTTTGAGTCTCTCACTGAAGTAACTTCAGAAGCCATGGATGAATACAGTGTTTGAGTGAACCGCCCCTTTATCATAAATAGTGCCAAATCACGTGCAGCCATGTTTATCAATAAAATCACTCAAACCGCAGAAAACCCTCTCTAACCTAACAGGGAATACTTGTCAACAGTTAACTTAGCAAGCAGACATTGAGTTGATGTATGAAGACTAAATGTAGTCTCGATAACACGATCCATTATGTGATAAATATCTTATCAACATCATAATGTATCATGTCTATTTCAATGCGGATTTACTGAGAAAATGACGTCACCGTCATGACAACTGATATGCTGCACCTGCAACACAGAGGTGTAACCGGCTATCGCCAACCTCTGTTACAGCTATGCAGCTGGGTGGTATAATGCAAAGAATGAATGTTGTTCAAAGAAAAATCAGTGATATCCGTTATAAGAAGCTGATCGACACACCAGCGGTCGACTGCATGGGCAACGAACAAGATGACCCAAAATAACTGGGAACATGGGGCCTAGTTTGTTCAGAATTCCTATTTTGCGGGATGTAAAACCCAATCTGACACCTGCCCATGTTACGGTAGTCCCTGATAGAGCCCGGTGTCCATGCTACGGTAGTCCCTGATATAGTCTGGCGTCCATGCCGCGATAGTCCCTGATGGAGTCTGGCGTCCATGCTACGAAAGTCCCTGATAGAGTCTGGCGTCCATGTGACGGTAGTCCCTGATAGAGTCTGGTGTCCATGCTACGTCAGTCCCTAATAGAGTCTGGCGTCCATGCTGGGATAGTCCCTGATAGAGTCTGGCGTCCATGCTGGGATAGTCCCTGATAGAGTCTGGTGTCCATGCTACGTCAGTCCCTGATAGAGTCTGGTGTCCATGCTACGATAGTCCCTGATAGAGCCTGGTGTCCATGCTACGGTAGTCCCTGATAGAGTCTGGTGTCCATGCTACGATAGTCCCTGATAGAGTCTCGTGTCCATGCTACGGTAGTCCCTGAGAGAGTCTGGTGTCCATGCTACGTCAGTCCCTGATAGAGCCTGGCGTCCATGCTACGATAGTCCCTGATAGAGTCTCGTGTCCATGGTACGTCAGTCCCTGATAGAGCCTGGCGTCCATGCTACGATAGTCCCTGATAGAGTCTGGTGTCCATGCTACGGTGGTCCCTGATAGAGCCTGGTGTCCATGCTACGATAGTCCCTGATAGAGCCTGGTGTCCATGCTACGGTAGTCCCTGATAGAGTCTGGTGTCCATGCTACGTCAGTCCCTGATAGAGCCTGGCGTCCATGCTACGATAGTCCCTGATAGAGCCTGGTGTCCATGCTACGTCAGTCCCTGATAGAGTCTGGTGTCTATGCTACGTCAGTCCCTGATAGAGTCTCGTGTCCATGCTACGATAGTCCCTGATAGAGTCTGGTGTCCATGCTACGTCAGTCCCTGATAGTGTTTGGTGTCCATGCTACGTCAGTCCCTAATAGAGTCTGGTGTCCATGCTACGTCAGTCCCTGATAGAGTCTGGCGTCCATGCTACGATAGTCCCTGATAGAGTCTGGAGTCCATGCTACGATAGTCCCTGATAGTGTTTGGTGTCCATGCTACGTCAGTCCCTGATAGAGTCTCGTGTCCATGCTACGTCAGTCCCTGATAGTGTTTGGCGTCCATGCTACGTCAGTCCCTGATAGAGTCTGGTGTCCATGCTGGGATAGTCCCTGATAGAGTCTGGCGTCCATGCTACGTCAGTCCCTGATAGAGTCTGGTGTCCATGCTGGGATAGTCCCTAATATAGTCTGGTGTCCATGCTACGATAGTCCCTGATAGAGTCTGGAGTCCATGCTACGTCAGTCCCTGATAGAGTGTGATTCCATGCTACGTCAGTCCCTGATAGAGTGTGATGTCCATGCTACGTCAGTCCTGAATAGAGTCTGGTGTCCATGCTACGATAGTCCCTGATAGAGTCTGGTGTCCATGCTACGTCAGTCCCTAATAGAGTCTGGTGTCCATGCTACGTCAGTCCCTGATAGAGTCTGGCGTCCATGCTACGATAGTCCCTGAATAGAGTCTGGTGTCCATGCTACGATAGTCCCTGATAGAGTCTGGTGTCCATGCTACGTCAGTCCCTAATAGAGTCTGGTGTCCATGCTACGTCAGTCCCTGATAGAGTCTGGCGTCCATGCTACGGTAGTCCCTGATAGAGTCTGGTGTCCATGCTACGATAGTCCCTGATAGAGTCTGGTGTCCATGCTAAGTCAGTCCCTAATAGAGTCTGGTGTCCATGCTACGTCAGTCCCTGATAGAGTCTGGCGTCCATGCTACGGTAGTCCCTGATAGAGTCTGGTGTCCATGCTACGTCAGTCCCTGATAGAGCCTGGTGTCCATGCTACGGTAGTCCCTGATAGAGTATGGTGTCCATGCTACGATAGTCCCTGATAGAGCCTGGTGTCCATGCTACGATAGTCCCTGATAGAGTCTGGTGTCCATGCTACGTCAGTCCCTAATAGAGTCTGGTGTCCATGCTACGTCAGTCCCTGATAGAGTCTGGAGTCCATGCTACGATAGTCCCTGATAGAGTCTGGTGTCTATGCTACGTCAGTCCCTGATAGAGTCTCGTGTCCATGCTACGATAGTCCCTGATAGAGTCTGGAGTCCATGCTACGTCAGTCCCTGATAGAGTCTGGTGTCCATGCTACGTCAGTCCCTGATAGTGTTTGGCGTCCATGCTACGTCAGTCCCTGATAGAGTCTGGTGTCCATGCTGGGATAGTCCCTGATAGAGTCTGTCGTCCATGCTACGATAGTCCCTGATAGAGTCTGGTGTCTATGCTACGTCAGTCCCTGATAGTGTTTGGTGTCCATGCTACGTCAGTCCCTGATAGAGTCTCGTGTCCATGCTACGATAGTCCCTGATAGAGTCTGGAGTCCATGCTACGTCAGTCCCTGATAGTGTTTGGCGTCCATGCTACGTCAGTCCCTGATAGAGTCTGGTGTCTGTGCTACGTCAGTCTCTGATAGAGTCTGGTGTCCATGCTACGATAGTCCCTGATAGAGTCTGGAGTCCATGCTACGTCAGTCCCTGATAGAGTGTGATTCCATGCTACGTCAGTCCCTGATAGAGCCTGGTGTCCATGCTACGGTAGTCCCTGATAGAGTATGGTGTCCATGCTACGATAGTCCCTGATAGAGCCTGGTGTCCATGCTACGATAGTCCCTGATAGAGTCTGGTGTCCATGCTACGTCAGTCCCTAATAGAGTCTGGTGTCCATGCTACGTCAGTCCCTGATAGAGTCTGGAGTCCATGCTACGATAGTCCCTGATAGAGTCTGGTGTCTATGCTACGTCAGTCCCTGATAGAGTCTCGTGTCCATGCTACGATAGTCCCTGATAGAGTCTGGAGTCCATGCTACGTCAGTCCCTGATAGAGTCTGGTGTCCATGCTACGTCAGTCCCTGATAGTGTTTGGCGTCCATGCTACGTCAGTCCCTGATAGAGTCTGGTGTCCATGCTGGGATAGTCCCTGATAGAGTCTGGCGTCCATGCTACGATAGTCCCTGATAGAGTCTGGTGTCTATGCTACGTCAGTCCCTGATAGTGTTTGGTGTCCATGCTACGTCAGTCCCTGATAGAGTCTCGTGTCCATGCTACGATAGTCCCTGATAGAGTCTGGAGTCCATGCTACGTCAGTCCCTGATAGTGTTTGGCGTCCATGCTACGTCAGTCCCTGATAGAGTCTGGTGTCTATGCTACGTCAGTCTCTGATAGAGTCTGGTGTCCATGCTACGATAGTCCCTGATAGAGTCTGGAGTCCATGCTACGTCAGTCCCTGATAGAGTGTGATTCCATGCTACGTCAGTCCCTGATAGAGTGTGATGTCCATGCTACGTCAGTCCTTAATAGAGTCTGGTGTCCATGCTACGATAGTCCCTGATAGAGTCTGTAGTCCATGCTACGTCAGTCCCTAATAGAGTCTGGTGTCCATGCTACGGTAGTCCCTGAGAGAGTCTGGTGTCCATGCTACGTCAGTCCCTGATAGAGCCTGGCGTCCATGCTACGATAGTCCCTGATAGAGTCTGGTG